TGAGGCCAGCTTCTTCATGCCTCTAGGCCATCTTATGGTTTGACCGCCGCGACGCTTCTTCCATCCTTGCCCGGCACCTGCAAAGAGAGCACGGAAAGGTAGTCGATGGGCAGTCATACGCAATACGTGACCAAGTCATCGGAGGCGGTGTAGAGGAATTACTTCTGTTAGAGAGCAACTATCCACACCCAACACACGACTACGAACCTCATCATTGCTCACCCGATGCTCCCACCAGACACGAGCTATGTATGCTTCGGAGACATCGGTGGTCGAATACCGAAAGTCGAATAACATTCTTAGCTCGGATTCTGGCGTTTTATAACCTTCTATGTCCTCTACAGTCAATTTATTCTGGGGGTATCATCACGAAATGGTTTTTTCAAGTGTAACAATAGCAGCTTCTGATCTGTCCGTTTCCATGTCCTTCACGTGATTAGGCATCTTTTTGTGTTATTCTATCCGCTCTTTCCTCGCTGATTTTTCACTACGGTTTCCATTTTCGTATCTCGCTTTCCGCCTATCCGACACTTTGGATCAGGTTCCCGAACGCTGTCTGACTGTGGGTGTCAGTACTGTGATGGATGCTCGCGAAGTGTTGATTTTAGTCTCCGGTACTTCAAAAGCTCTGGCTCTGAGTAAAGCGATCGAGGAAGGAGTCAGTCATATGTGGACTGTATCTGCTCTGCAGGTCAGTTTTGAATTAGTCCATGTTTTCTTAGTTGACAATAGAGTATCCTGTAAGTGGAATGTGTTGCGTGATAAGCCATCATTCACTCTTGCCGTTCGGTGCCGATCAGTCAGCCAGTTTATCCCGTCTGTGGCTTCTTCGATTTGTTTGTTACCCATAGATAACATACAGAACTAAAGAACGGATGCGCATGCTAAATGACTGTGCTGAGTTAGTAAGATTATTGAGTCCATCTTAAAGTAAATAGATTTCTAACGCTCGGTGCGATTCATTTATCGTTCTGATTTTCGAGAAAGCGACTCAGTGTCTGTATTAAAAAGCACATTTTCGGGATCGATGTCTACTAGTTGAAGTTCTTCAGTTCACGGTATCCCACAAGTCCTATTTTTATTGCACAGCGGTGTGTGATAGACAGTAGACTGAGTGGAACCCCATAATCACGAGAATCTGCTGTTCAGTGATGGAAACCGGTAACCTATGCCCCGGAACTTGGATTGGTGAACCACATAAGGCCCCACTGGGTCAGGCGTGGTACAAAACCGGACGACAGCAAAGCTCTCTACCACCAAAGTTGATAGGTGGTCGATAGGGGCTCGAACCTCAGAACATAGTATTTACAGCGCACCAGTGACAGTGACTAAACCAATACACTCCTGATATAAATTCCCCAGGGACAATTCATCTGTATTGGCCTAGCGCACCTGACAATATTCTGCCCACACTTTCAATTTTACATCAGTGAATGACTGATTTCATAGTCGCTGCAACTGAGAGCATGAAAACTGTGCGGCTTGCGCATCTCCCAGCACGGCTTGGTCGATATGGTATTTGATAAGGCAATTTTCAAATCTCCCCATCGACAGCTATCGCTAGGCGCCGGAGGTGGGTGGGAGGCTAGGATCTTTGATTGGAAGCACATGAAGCACCCCGAACGGACAATATCCAATTCCTGCTGATGGTTTAGAAAGATCCTAGCAACAAAATGTGTCCTTTTCAAATCTGTCTAATCTATGTATATATATATATAGTTCGATGCAATAATGCGGACATAATCATAGTTAAATTTTGATTTGGTTTAACCTACACCTATTTGGGGTAGAGGTATCAAATAGATCGGCTGGTACTACTCGCTACTGATAAAACACGAAAGCGAAAATTGAGTTGCCTGATTCAAGATGTGAATAAATCTATAAGCCCCGGAGGATCGCCATGAGAAGAAGAAAAAGAACTACTGCTTAACAGGAAAAGAACAGATGACTATTTTCCGTTTCTGTGTAGAAGCTATATGTAAAATATGCTAAAAAGCGAACTCTGTATGATGTAGGATGCACATCCTACTGATCTGTGTGTGTGTGTCGGTGGGTGGATAAGTAGGTGGGGATGAAGAGAGAGAGAGAGGAGGGAGGACTGCATTACATAATGCAATTGCTCACATGCTCACATGATACTGTGTGGATTCAGGCGCGTGTGAAATACACAGGCAAAATGTCTAATTTGTTTCACCGTGATTTGACGGTGATGAATATCCGATTATCCGGTAATTGTGGTGGTGTATTTTATTGATTTGCGTAGACATCTGTGCTTACATTTCAGTCAAATCATCTCTTTCACTGTTACACTAGTAAGTGTAACCCTGATCCAAGTGTACTGTAGAACGTGAATAAATGAAGGTCATCACTGTAGATTTTCACAATGACCTATAACCCTTGTAAATGTATACTGGCGTGCATATCGTTATTCGAAATCAGTGTGATGTAGGATGTAACGAGCGAAACACGCGGAAATGAAATCTGCCAATGTGATGCGAATAGTTGACGTGTTCCTTTTGCAACCGAAGTCCCAGGACTTGCACTAGCTGAATTACATCAGGCTCCGCAAGGTTAGGCTTGGTAGTGAACCGGGGAGACAGTAAAGCTGTCTGCCACTGTAGAACGTTTCGTCTCACTTCGGTGAGACAGTTTATTCTGACACATTGAAACAACCTTGAATGGAATGTGGTTGTATTAATCCCGAACTAATTTTTTGCTATCGAAAAAAGACTGAAGCATTTAGAATTCCCTAATGCATTTAAACAGGCAATTCAGAAGAGTTCAGTTTTCAGTTTTTACAACCATTCACCATGCACTTTCGTGCGCCGGTTTTGGTTGCTCATTTGGATAAAATGGTAGAATGATGGTTAGAATATTGACAGTAGATTCAAGTGGAAGATAGCGCATTTACATAGACTGAAGTTACAAGAGTAATGAGTAGATGCATGAGCACCACTGTTTGCGACACCAAGCCATATCGCTCAGTGTCTCTAACCATCGGTGACCGTGATCTCGGGGTCCCCAGCCAGGGAGCCTAACGGGGCCTATGTGGCCTAGTCTCCTGGTTAGGGTTTTCGTATTCTCATGCCAGGTCTTAGTTTAACCGCTCTTGACCTTTTTCCAACCGCTACCTGCCTCGGCAAATATCGCTCGCTGTGGTGACCTATCTGGTAATATGCGTAGCACATGGCCCAACCAGCGTAATCTATGGAGATCGACCATTTGCTCCAGTGGACAACCGCGATTACCTAAAACTCTACGCCTAACCTCATCATTGCTCGTCTGGTTACCCCGTAAGACTCGTGCAATAAATACGACGGAGACAGCGGTGTTCGAACACCGACAATCTAGTTTTATCGGTGTCAGAAGACAAATACTACGAGAGGAACTCCCTTCGTTGATACTCGCATTGGTCGCCTACGCCTAACATTGAAGAAGATAAACAAATGAAGTGCATTAAGCAATGTAGTTCGTCCTAATCGTGTGTTTCTATTTCCCATCATGTACATCAAACAGTATACAAACACCCGATTAAACCTAACTAGTTTTCTTAATTCGCTTCATTTGTCTATCTTGTTCAATGTTATACGTACGTGACCGATGACAGAGAATACGAAAGCAATTCCTCTCGCAGTGTTTGTCTTCTGATTTGCCTGTTCATATTTTCCATTCGTTGGATAACTTCCATCGAGATTAGTAATGCACACTCACTCTTTATTGCGTTATAGTTGCCGTGAAATTATGCTTGCCAGTCTATCTACTTGGATTCACTCCGTTGTACTTACTGGGTGCAAAATAGGAGTAAACATCAGTAACGATAACACTTATCGTCGATCTGTCCATACAATCAGATGGTTTGCCATGAAAATCACACACACACATTTCGTAGTCATTCACCGGTCATTGCTGTGTCTTCAATGGAAGACTTTCACAATCACACGCTCTTTGTTTATTTCCATAGCATCATAAACGCGCAATTTTCGTTGTGGATGAAGACGCAACTCTGGAGTTGAAGGTGAAAACAGTCCGATACTTCAAAGGATTGGATAGTATTCATCGGAAACTGAATGAATAACTTGTCCACACAAGGCCAGCAATCCCAATCCCGTTCTTTCTGTCTGTACAATCCCCTTGATTTGCCCCTCACTATTCATTCACCTGTTTGAACAGATCTCCCACAGATTGTCTGATCAATTGACCGATTCTCTGGTTTCTTGTTTGCTTCTAGCTCGATTACTCATTGCTTCCATGTGAACAATTTTTTTCAACAATGGCCAAAACGTGGAGCAGTTGTTATTCCTTCCGCTGGTGATTCTGAACAAGGGTGGGTGATGGGATAAAAACTGAGTCTATCCAAACTTACGGGTGCATGAGGATAAAAATAGAAGTCTTAACAGTCAGAAAGACGAAGTGTGATGATACAGTATCCGTGCGTGTCAGGCTGGACTAACAAGTTGATGTGAGAGAACTATGTATTATGTAAGTAATGGAAGAATCTGATTCAGTTTTCCAGGTGAATTTCGTCGTGTACATAGCAAATAAAGCGTGAACTGAAAAACTGGGAAGCACTGAATCTGGATTGGGTCTCATCAGCAATGCGAATCGATCGACCCAACTGGGGATCGGACCCGGGACCTCACAGGCAGAACGCAAGCATGCTACCCACTCGGGCAGCTGGTCAGATCGTTTTTCATTTTCTATTTACACGACATAACACAACCAGTTGGTTCGATGGATTCGCACACTGCATGGATGAGATGAGATCCAACCAGATCGAAACAACCGTCAAACAGTGCTTCCTAGCTTTTCAGTTCACGCTTCATTTGTTATGTGCACGGGAAATTTCACCTTTGTACCTAAGTATTACTGGAATGAAACCATGCTTCAATTGTTGAGTGGGGAGTGGGGCGGTGGAGGAATAGTTCACTGATTGCCAAATCACAAATAAGTTGCTGGGACTGATGAGAAATGGGTTTGCGTGTATTGGAATCAAGGCAAATATGGTGGCTTTCCTAATTCCCGCGTGATGTCTAGTAGTTAGTTAGTTATTTGACTGAAAGTTTCAAGACGAAGGTTTTGCTTCTAGCTCTACACCTGATGCATATTCGGAAAGGCTTGTTTCGCATACCATTCGGAACTGGGATTTCGTTTTCCATGTTTCTCGAAGATCATCACTATGGCGAAAGGATGGAAATGAAACAATTTTTCGACCGATGAAAATAACTCATCGCAGATTGGCAACTTGTATGAGCCCCCTCACGAATTGGTTGTTTTATTCATGCCAGTTTTTATGACTACCCTGACAACAGTCTGTT